ATAATTTTATAATATACATCTTTGTTTGAATTATTAGTGAGTATGTATATGCTTCATTATAGTTGTTTTTCAAATTATTATTGATAATTTTTAATATATGTCTTTAATAAATATTTAAAAATGGTTCTATTAATTTATTAGTGAGTAAGTATAAGCTTTATCATATTTGTTGCTAAATTTCTCATTTGATGATTTTGAATAATATTATTTATAATTTTATATTATTTTTTCTTGAATTATTAGCTCGTAAGTATAAATTTTTATATTTCTTTCTAAATTTTTGATAAATTTTAATAAATTCTATTTATAACATTATATACTTATTGTTAACAAATTATTAGTGAGTAAGTACATGTTTCTAAAATTTCACTTCATTTTACAATACAAATTTTTCTTGCAAATTGCTAGTTGGTAGGCATAGTTTTATTATAATTATTTATAAATTTACTATTCAATAATTTTAATTATCTATTTTTATGTCTAACGATTCATATTTTAACAAATGATTTGTAAAACTATTGGCTGGTAAATATAAAAATTGCAAGTTTTTAAATCATTATTTGATAATTTTGTATTTGATAAATATTTTATCATGTGCTTCTGTCCAATTATTAGCTCGTAAGTATAATTATTTTTTATGATTTTCAAAATATGAAGTTTACAATATTTAACCAAATATTTCTATCAAATTATTAGCTTGTAAGTATAAATTTTATATTTTAAAATTATGATACTAAAATTTCACTTGATTTTTGTGTCATGCTAATTATAACTTTATAATAAATATCTTCTGCTAAATTATTAGATGGTAAGCATTATTAAAAAATTATTTACCACCCTGTGAATTTTTTTCTATTAAAAAAAAGCATTTTAGCATCTTGCACCATGAGTGATAAATAATGCAGTTATTTGAGTGTTGCAAAATGGAAATAGATAATTATAAATTTCATATGCAATCTATTTTTAGATTTCCGGGTTTCATTTGGCAGCACTCATTTATAGAATAATGTGATATCAAATACGTATGATTAATTTCCATTATGTTAAAATCGGATCACACCGGATAGTTATACATAAATTTTGTAAGAAATTTTTGTTATATCCGATATTTCAAATTTATTGATTAATTTAAGTGGTAATATTTCTCACTCTGGGCGGTAAATGAAGAAATTATTTCTAATATAATTATCTTAAATTATCCATTTTTATATCTAACAATTCATATTCTATCAAATGCTTTTGTAAAATTATTAGCTGGTAAATATAAGAATCACAAGTTTTAAAATCATTATTTGATAATTTTTAAAATATGTGTCTGATAAATATTTTAACATTTGTCTCTATCAAATCAGTAGCGAGTAATTATAAACTTTATTTTTTAAAATTATTATTCATGATTTTCAAAATATTATTTTACAATGTTTAAACAAATATTTCTGTCAAATTAGTAGTGAGTAAGTATAAACTTTATTATATTTATCTCTAAAACTTTGCTGCATTTTAAATAATACTATTTATAAATTTATATCCATATTTTCTTTTAATAGTGTATAAGTATATAGTTACTAAAATTTTACTTGATTTTTATATTATGCTAATTATAACTTTATAATAAATATTTTCTCTTGTAAAATTATTAGTTGGTAAGCATAAATTTCATATTTAAAAAAAATATATTTACCACCTAGGTGAATTTTCTTCTGCTTAAAAAAAATGCATTTTGGCATCTTGTTGTACAGTGCTGCATCTGGTATCGTGCGTGACAAATAATGTAAAGAATATTATTTATAATATTATATGGCATCAAATACATGTGATTTGAATTTTCATTATGGAAAAAATTGGATTACACCAGATACTGTATGAAATATTGTATGGTAGGTCTAGAGATTGGGAAATCGAGAATTTTTTGAATCTATTGCACAGGCTGCGCAGCCTACAAAACCCGCATTACGGCTAATGCGGGCAGAATTGTTAAATTCCGGGAAATTCCGAAAAATTCCGGACCTCCGAAACATTCCGCCTGCGCAGCGTCCCATGTCTAGCAAAGTTATACTTAAATTTTGTAATAAAATTTGCATTACATCCGATATTTCAAATTTATTAATTAATCCAAGCAGTAAGATCCCACTCTAGGTGTAAATAAATAAATACTTTTAGTATAATTATTTTAAAATTATTATTTTTAAATATGCATTCAATAAATATTTTAACAATATTTTTGTTAAATTATTAGCGCGTAAGTATAAGTTTTATTGCATCTAGTTTTAAAGTTATATTTTAACAAATGCCTTTGCCAAATTATTAGTGAGTAAGTATAAGCTTTATTTCATTTAGTTTTTAAAGTTATATTTAAACAAATGCCTTTGCCAAATTATTAGCGTGTAAGTATAAGTTTTATTGCATTTAGTTTTAAAGTTATATTTTAACAAATGCCTTTGCCAAATTATTAGCGAGTAAGTACAGGCTTAATGATATTTATGTTTTAAAATTATATCTTCGATATCTAACGATATATATTTTAACAATTGCCTGTGTTAAATTATTGGTGAGTAACATAAACTTAATCTAAAATTATACGTTTTATATGACAATATATTTTTAACAGAAGAAATTGCATATGAATTTCTAACGTGAGGCGATAATGTGAGATGATTGCTTGATTTTAATTTGGCTTGTTTGGTTCTCTTTTTTATGTCAACTCTTTTTGTTTTTTATTCTTGTTTACTTTTCTTTTATTTTTTTATTTCTTATTTATTCTCATTTTTTTTACTTGCTTTTTTATACTTATTATTTTTTTCTTCACTTTTATCGATTCTTTGCTTTTTGCTTATTCATTTATTTTCTCTTTTTAAATTTTTTTTCTGTGATCATTGCTTATATAACTCAGTCTTAAGGTTATGTAAACAACGCCCTTTATATTTTACAATCAAATCTAGTTTAGTTTTATTTTTTTTGTAATTTTCTAAAATTACTATATAATTTGGTTTGATCTGTTTAATAAATACTAGCAACACGTTACATATTGTCATGATTACGATTAAATGTGGGCGAATTTATTTCCGATTTGTTTATTGCAAAACTCATGCCGATTTGCTGATTTATTTAAAGCATATAAAACATTACTTCGAGATGTAACTGTTATGTCGATAATGCATTTGGAAAGATTGCTGGTGATTAAAAAGTGCGCTAACTATTTACACTGATCTGGGATTAGTTTAGCGACAGACTCGCAGAATTCAGAATTACAGTATTAATAAACTCTTGGTTTACGGGATCTTCTTGTGTTGGCTTATGGTCTTAGATTCTTAATTGTGAGATGTGTAGTAATGTTTTATTTAAGGCCAATTTAGTCTTATATAGAAAACTATGAAAAAATAAATAGAGTACCTGTTTAATACCATATACTGCTATATTTAATTGTTAGTTGACGGTGAAACTGCCACAATGATCATGTTGTGTAACAAAACATATTGGTATAGATTTTTTATTATTCGTTATAAATAAGTAATTTTCTTTAAAAATATCAATTAACATGTCTTGTTTTATCTAATCAATAGTTTGTTCTCTAAAGAAGAACATTTAATGTTTAAAACATTATTTTATTTCTAATTTTAACATTAAACTTTATCTCAAAAGATTTTACAATACAAACAACAAATTAATACATATATAGTCAAACCTTTCTAAGTACATGCCCTTGGGACCTGGGAAGTGTGATCTTAGAGAGGTTTGTAGTTATGAAACTTTCAACTAGCCAATCAAAGCAAGAAAGTATATGTGTGATTAATTCAAACCTTTCTAAGTGCATATCCAACATAAGGTATGCATTAAGAGAAGATATAAATTCTGCATTTATTGATCAAATATCATCTGTGTGCATTTACGAAGGATACATCCATATACAAGGGTTCAGATACTTATACACTTGTAAAGAATAAGACACTTCATATTTGCAAAATATTTAAAATTTTTTATTTGACTGAGTAAAAATTTATTGTTAATACTGCATTGAATTTAAGACAAGTATTATATTTGTGAAATCAATATCGAATATGTTAAACAAGTCACTTCTTTCTTTATAATGTTGAGCAATATCATGTGTTTTGATAAATCTACTAGCATAAATGATACCAGAATGTCCTTGTAAAGTTATTGAAGTCTCTGAAATTTTCATATCAGCATTTATAAAATAAAATTCCACAAATTAATCATGCTAATTTATGAAGTTATGCCATTCAAAAAGCTTAGAATGAATTGTTTAGCGGTAGGTCATTGTCGTGAATCTGAATGCATACATAATTTTGTAAATCCAAGCTCTATTTCCGCTTAAATTTTTAATGCAAGTCGATATCAAATTTGAACGTCTATAAAATGGACAAATTCCAGAAGACACAGTACCTCCAAAATTTTAAATGTTAGCCGTTTGTATATATTTCTGACATAACAAGATCTATTAAGAAAATATGTTGAAAACCAAAGTAGGACATCAAATTTACTTGGTAAACATATTCTATTTATCACATCGAATTTCTTCAAAGAATACAAAGGATTATGAAACATATAAACCATATCACATGATCAAAATAAAAATATGGTATGTTAGGTTTTTACACAATTAAAATAACGATACTGAATGTACGTAGTGGAATCAGTGTTTAAAATTCAAAAAAAAATCACTTGTATGAATGCATTTTGTGCAACTTTCTTAAAAAATTTACTTGCGCACTTAATGGATTTTTAAAATATCTAAAAAAATTCTTGCACATGTGCATCTTGTGCAAGCCAATTATAAACACTGCTTGGAGCACACTTGTCGTATTATAGAATATTCCGTAGTTAATTGTAAATAAAAATTTTAGATGAGTAAAAGGATTAACAAGATGAAATGTACCCGATTCAAATGTACCCGATCCAAACGTACCCGATCCAAACTTATTACCACACCTGGTGTGCAGCAAATAAAAAATTATTTCACGATGATGGGTCATCTAACGACGATGGGTCACTTAACTGTCAATGTAACAAATATGAGTGCTGCCAAGGGAAACTTGTCGTAAAGGTTTAAATTATAATTTGTGTACAGTTGGCCGTCTAAGGAGAATCTATCGTCGGGCTTCGAAATATATTTTGACCTTGAAAAATTAGGTAGAAAACAGATTTTCGGAGGTATTTGAAAGCCCGACGATAGATTCTCCTTAGATGGCCAACTGTATACAAAATATAATGAAACCTTTACGACAGGTTCTCCCTTGGCGGCACTCACATAATCCTTCACAGTTTGCTTGCAATATAGTAACCCATTTTATAGTGCTAAAGGTCTACTGTACCACCGTAAAATTGTAAACCGTAATGCTGAAATGTTTTAACATAATATTCCCCATAGTGCTACATTTTCTTATTGCGGTAATTATGAGTTTGAATTTGCAATTTTAGCTGCCAGTGATAATATATTGATAATACAACATATCACATGTTTTGTAAAAACATGTACTCTTTGTTACTTTCGTTTCGAGCTTTTTTTTTCTTTGTTGCATCCATATTTTTTACTGAACATACTACTAAATTGTTCCAATATTTATAAACAAATTAAATCAAAAAGCTTCAGACAAATTAATGTTTTTTGTTAAACTGACATGCCTGACTGATTTTTATTATTTTTTGGTTTAAAAAAAGTTATAAGGAGCCAAAGTTTTAATGGTTTAAAAAATCGGCATTTAATATACAAAAAGAAATATATTTATTTAATTAACCAATCAATTAATGAATTAGTTCAATGTGCGTTTAACAAACCGTACAATAAGTAATGATTAGAATCACTTTTTTAAAAAAAATAAGGATAATTTTCCTTGGAACATGATAAGTCTTGAATACAATTATACTAGTTGATTTACGTAAATTCATAATGAAAAAATTTCATATGACTTGGTTAACATAAATTTTTCATATGGCATCTGTTCAAGTTGCAGAAAATATCAATCCCCTTAATCAGTTTTTAATATTGTTTGGTTCTTCGAATAAAAACCATTTAATCAATTACTTCCCTTCATGCAATCGGCATTATTCGAATTGGTGTACTATATCCTATGTTAATTATCTACTGCTCTATTGTAATTTTTAAATTTAGATGCAAATAAATTTTATGTACAAATTAATGCAAATAAGCGAAATCAAATAGTAAATATTCGTGAACTTGAATAGTTTATTTATCATAAGTGCTACCCACAGCTAAATAAATTAATTACGGTCAAACTTCTCTATACGCACTGTAACAGGGAATTTACCAAATGTTTATTTAGAGAGGTATGAAGGTAAAAATCTATGAACATCATATTAGTTAGACCCAAGCAAAGACTGTATTTGGGGGAGCTTTTCATTGGGCGTGTATTTAGGTTGCATTTAGATTGGCCTAAATGTAATAATAAGCATTGATTGTGCACAAAATTAATTTTTGTAACACAATATAGAATTCTAGAATTAATAATACTGTAATTATTTCAGGAAACAAATCTTCACTATTAAAAAAAAAGTATTTTAAAAAAACCACTCAAATTACTGTAACATTAAAGCTTTGTTATGTTTGCAATAATAAATATAAATTTATCATATTTGTAAATTTGTACTATCAATAAGTTTTAAATTGAGATAACATACGTACGTACGTATGTTATCTTTAAAATTATTGTAATACATGACAAAATATCGACGTATACTAAAAAATAATTCAATTTATATTTGTAAAAAAAATTATTATATTTGTTTATTCACATTGGCTTATTTGTGCGCGCAAATATATGTAAACATTTGTAGCATAGGTGATATGTTTATATTATCAATTAAATACATCATATTAATAGTATTAATAGAGTTAAAATTAAACATCATATTTTTGTTCGTGATTTCTTATAAATCTGGGTTATTGCTCCCTTCTCGAATACGATAAAAGTTAAAATTTAATTAATACTAATAAGAATCAATTAATTCATCCGAAGAGTAGTATTTATATTTTAATCGAAATGAATCTCACTAAGAGTACAATTATCTTCTTCCTCGTGTGTATTTTTATCGCTTCTAGTGTTTTTGCCCAAAGGTATGTTTTCAAAGTTAATAATTTCGAGAATTTAATGCTTTCTACCGTTTTCTAACATGTCTTTTATTCCCTTTCTCTTATTCTGAAAGCGTTACTGATGCGCCAGTAGGAACAACTCCACCTGAAAGTGCACCATCTGAAACTCTACCCACCGCTCCAAGTGTCGCTCCAAGTGTCGCTCCAAGTGCCGCTCTAAGTGGTGCCCCTTCAGGTAGCTCCGCACCGACTGGTCCTGCACCGGCAGTTTCTGCTACTGGTACAGCTCCCTCTCCTCTAGCTACTGAAAGCGGCAAAAGTTCCACGTAAATATTTTTGAGAAATCTTTTAATTATTTTTAGTTAATTGTCTTAATTAATTCTCATATAATAATTACTTTTTTTAAAAAAAAGTACCAAACCCCCAGCTGCGACAACAAGTGCAAGTGCGAGTGCTGCTTCAAGTGTTCAAATTAGCAATTTTGAATTAATTAGTGGTTATTTAGTCGCACTATTCATTGGTGGTTTATTATTCTAAATTTGGTTATTCGCAATTCAAAAGGATATCATTATATTATTTATGAGATGGTAATAATAACTTTATTAATAACTTTAATAATAACTTTAATAAAATAGCTACGTAACGTAGTTGCGCGAAATTAGGAACGATGATGTAATATAGGATTTGTGTCAAACCTAAAGACATAGACATAATTCTGTAACTTTCCATAATAGTAATTAGTTATGGCATTTTTTGCCAGAATCTATAACAATTTGCAGTATCATAACCAAGTGTAAAATTCTAGCTGTAATAAGTAAAGTCTTAATTACTGAAATAAATAATTATTTAATTAATTATAAGAATCTTATTTATATAACTTTTAAATTTGAATGTAAAATAACCTTTACGCTCACTAATTAAGTGAATAAAGTGGTAAATATTTATGAATCTAATTTAATGGATTAGATTATAAATATTATTTATATATATGCATTAAATTAACACGAATAAAATGAAATTAAATAGTAAATACTCATGACATTTAATGGCTTATTTTAAATGCAATATTATCAAAAGTTCTTTATACTTAATGAATTAAATCATCACAAATAAGATAGAATCAATAAATAATAAGCTTAATAGCTTGTTTAAATTAATAACTATTTTTCTATCACACAGTAAATCAAACAAAATCAAGTAGTAAATACATATAAAATTAACCGTGTTATGAAATTAAGTCATAGATATTCATTAATAATCTACTTGAATTCTTGGATTAATTATATTACTTCTACTTGAATACTTGGATTAATTATATTACGAACTAAATTAACAATAATAAATTAAATTAATTATTTACGAAATTTAATAATGTTTTTATATTTAGATTAATAAATGTTTACACTCACGCACAAAATAAATATAAATAAAATTAAATTAAATAGTAATAATATTCATGACTATTTTAAATGTTTGAAGATTTTTTCTTATATTACGACCATATTTATACGAATGAATGAAATTAATTATAAAATTTAATGGCTTATTTTAAATTCTCAAATTATCAAAAGTTCTCCAGACTTATTGCACTAAATCACTCAAATAAAATGGAGTTAAATAGCGAATATTCAAATAGAAAAGAAATTTTATGTTAATACGCAAGTTGATAATTCAAAATAGATAATATACAGTTAATAAACAAAAAAAAAAGTAAAACCAATACCAATTTTAAGTCGTACAAGTATATTTAGACTTATGTATAATGTTGATGCGTATATAAAAAAGCGACTTATAATATGCAAACTATAATCTTCGTTGCACTCCATTCATGGTATAATTATATTTTTTATCGTAGCAATGATTATTCATAGACTGGCAAATTTGATATAGATAACAACTTTCACGGTATCAACACATATAGTAAACCGTTTTTTGCGCAGGCTAAAAACGAAAATCAATAGTTAACATAGATGTGAAGTCCACGCCAGTCTGAACCGAATTTCAATGGAAAAATTTATGCACAAATTGTTAACCATAAATAACTGTATAATGTAGTGCCATGTATAAAACAGGTAAAAAAACAATGCAACACCTGCACATATCACAAATTTAAATGTCACAATAATAAACGGCAAATTTCCGAGTATTACAATATTCTTGAAACACGTAATATCCAATTGATATACATAGTAGAAATTTTATTGTAATTAAAGTCCTTTTTATTATTACACCAATTAATATTATTTTACTCGAAAAACCTCTTAGTATACAAATAAGAAAATTACAAAAGTCACAAGCCTGAATTATCAAATCAAACACCAAGGATCGCACACACCTTTTCACTCACCATTTAGAAATCCAATTTTATTAAGAACCTAGATGTGTTAGAGGTTATAGGAATAGATTAATATGTTACAAGGTCAATTAAGCATTAGTTTTATTGAGTATTTTCACCTTTCTTTAGTACAAGTTCGGGATTCTATTTTGGGCTGAATCAGAATAAGCACTCTCCGATTGGCTATTTCCTTTTTAAGAACTCGTATTACTTGTTAAATGAGTGCTACGTTGTTGTATTACATTCCTGGTATGGATCAAAGTATTATGAATTCTAAAATATTTTTTATGTAAAACAAGATAAAATGATATATTAAGGGGGTTTGATTGTTACCTATATTTATATTACGATTAGAACAATCCTCTTAAATTGGTTTTAAGGTGAGGTTTTGCTTGTATTTTTATTAATTTATAAAATAGTAATATATGACAATACATATATTTTTACTATTTGTATTAGTACAAATAAAAAAGAAAATTACATGTAAAAATAAAAGCTCAGACAATTAAATAAAATGTCTAATTATCTGTGACCTAAACCTATTAAAGTGGTCAAAAACTCATCTAAATAATATTATTTATAGTTAAAATAAAGTTAAAAGTTATATTATACTTAATCTACAATGTGACTTAGTAACTAATTTTTTTTTGAAAGCTTGATCAATCAATTGACAAACTCTAAAATAAGAGTGAAATTGATCAGATTAATTACAAATACAAGAGTATATAAAATATAATTAGTATCTTTTGTATATCTATTGTAAAAAAAATAAAGTTTGTTGATTAAAATATGTATATATTAATTATTGTTTTTTTTAATTAAAAATTTTATATAGTAGGGTTTTCATAGTTGTTTATAAATTTGTTTGTTAATTTTAAGCAAATACTAATAATAATTATTGAAACAAATCTGCATAAAACATTTAGGTTCTAGATAATTCTAGTTAAAGATAAAAAGATAAGACTTTTGAAAATAAGTTTTAAATAAGTAAAGTTTAAAAAAATGGTTTGTTAAAAACTATATAAATATTAATTTTTAAATAAGTCATTACATTAGTTGTTAAAAAAATCTAGGTTGGTTAAACTTATGCAGTTAATTATAGTATTAAAATAATACATTAAGTAATAAAGAGTTCATATAAAAATAAGATGTACTAATGCACTTAATAGTTACATTGATTATCATATTATGCAAAATATAACTGATCATTAATATATTTTATTTACATTAGTGTTATATAATAGATTTATATATCAAATTTATGAATACAATTATAAAGAAAAGATAAAATATCTGTTAGCTCTATAGTTGTTAGATGAAACTGTTTATAAAAAATAATAAAAAATAAAACCTACTTATCAAAAAATGAAACTGATAAAACTCCAATAAAAAAACAAAACATAACAAAAAAAAAACCTTTGTCAAAAGATGAAACACCTAATAAAAGTCAAAATCTTTAACAAAAAATAAAACTCAGTAAAAAGTAAAACCTATAATGAAAAGCAAAAAGGCAAACTTTTAATGAATTGTTACTTATAGGTTACTCAATATACAATTTTAAAGAAATTTTATATCACTGTTATTCATTGTTTGTTCATTTTTATATTAATTTTTTATTATATTTATAACCATTTATACAAATGCACCTTTTTATAAAATATGACTAATCAAGTGCTCGAAAGAATCAAATAAATATTTAATAGTCAAATACTTAAATAATATTTGATGATTATAATTTCTAAATCAGGTAATGCATAATCTTAATCTAATAAGCTTTATTATGTATCCCTAATACCAATCATTTACTATAATAAAACTATGATTATTTTTAGGTTTGTAATTTTAAAATTTAAATTAACTTATATTAAAAATAAGACTTTATATTAATGTTTAAATTTTAATTGTATTTAACTAAAAATGAATGATCTAAGTAAAAATAAGATTAGTGCATTCCAAATTTAAATCATTAGAAAATTAAACTGAATAATATAAGTATAATTTGTAAGTTATAACAAGTTTCTAGTCAAATTTCAATATCATTAAATCCTTGAATCTCCAATGCAAATATGCCTTTTCTTGATATAATTGCATACTAAATTGATGATAATTAAAACCTTAAAAAAATTTTAATCAATATGTATATGTTGCTATATCTACATACTAAAATAAATATTGAATTACAATTAAAATCTATTTTAACTACTTTTAATATTACTATGAAGTTTTTTTGTGCAACTACAAATAATGAATCTAATGTAATTTCAGCAATTCATTAACTATATATACATTTATCTGTACAAAATCTTTGATTTTATTCACATTATTGTCTTGCACATGTTTTGCATCTTGTTGTTATTGCAAAAATAGCACCAATTAAAATATCAATTAAAAAAGTATATAGATTTGTGAAAATTATTACATCATTATCTACAATATCTCAAGATTTCAAAGAGATTGACCAATCAGTTGGTGAAGGTAAAATAGTTTGCAAAATTCCACAAGATGTTTTAACCAAATCAAATTGTACTTATTTTATGCTATTAGTTTATATATTAATGCCTATTACAATAGCAGCTGTTATTAGGCATTATAGTAATCTTACTCAATATAAACTTATACAACAAGAAGATATTGATTTTCAAATTATAATATGCTTTTTATAACAATTATATGAAACTATAAATATACTTTCTAGTAGTACCTATATAATATTGGGTAGAGGTCTGCAAATTGCTTATTTTTAAGACCTGGCTTGGTCTGCAGTTAGAAATAAAATTTTTTTTTAGGCCTGGCCCAGCCCATATTTAGGAGTACTATTTTTTTGTCAGCCTGACCTGACCCATATATGTTAAATTTTTTCTTCAGTCTGGCCCAGCCTGCAAAAATTTTTTATATAATTTTACAAATTTTTAGGCCCATATTGTCTTGCGATTATAAAGGTTTGCAAATTTTTCAGTCTGACCCAGCTTGCAATTATAAAATTTTACTTCAGATCTAAGCCGTAGGACCCAATGCAGGACTCTAATATTGGGTCTTTTAATTTTATTAATTTTTGATATTATTAATATTATTACAACATGTATTCAAGATTTATTATATTCTGCATTTCTTAAAACTGTTGCAATACAAATATTAAAAAAACTTAATTAATATATAGTTTATATTTATAACAATACAACTTTTATAGTTTCAATTCTTGATC